AGGGTGGGTGCAGAGGCCCCAAGGCCTTGCCCACCTCATGTCTCCCCTAGCTCAACCCTGGAACTGAGTCCTCCTCTGTGCATCTAGAGCCATCACCACATGAGGGAGGGTGCAGCCTGATGGGGGACCCCACATGTGCACCCCTTGCAGCTTCTGCAGCCAGAAGAAGCATCTGTGAAGAAAGGGGAGCAAGGTGGCCCTAACGCGAGAGTGGAGACAGTATCACACGAGGTTTTCTCACACATCCTTTCTGGCAGCTCTGGCTGCACCCAGGGTCTCCCACGTTAATTGCTCGTAATCTGTTAGACCACCACCATGCTTAATCTACTGAGCAGTGTTATTATGCCCTCCCATAATGCCTCACTCAGCTTCCTGCAAGTGGCTTCATTGCTGTTGTTATGTTTAACATGATGCCTCCGTGCAGGAGAGGAGATGGATCCGCAGAGAAGTTAATCCATCTGTTTGGTATAATTCAGTAGCAGAAGTCTACAGCATAAATTAGCTGACTCAACTCAAATGTGAGATTTCTCATGCTGAACTGAAGTCTTTCACTTTTTCTTTGTCCTCTTCCCTTTGGGACTATTCCCCTCTTAATTGTCTGGTAAATGCTGCCTGCTCTGAGGCCTGCTCTATGTTTGTCTTGTGTCCTGTCTGTCCTATGTTTAGTGTGTCTGTGAGTTTGGATTCTGCTCTTTGGCTGTTTGTGTCACCAGTTTCTCTCAACTTTGTCTTCCTTGGTAGAATAACAGGAATGCTAGTCCTATCTAAGTGGAGGTGATGTCTGAGATAGTTATCTGCCTGCTGGCTAGTTATATTAATTTCTACCAATCAGAACGTGTGCTCTACAGGCATCCACCAATCAGTATACAGTATATAATTATATAATTAAGCACCAATCAGAACCTTCTATATACAGGCACCCATCAATCAGACCATGCACTACAGGGTCATGCACCACTCAGAATGTACCTTATATAGGCACCTGCTAGTCAGAACACGCACTATATAGGCAGCCACCAATCAGAAGATTGCAGTATAGGTTCCTACCAATTGGAACCTGGAGGAAGAACAGTTGCCTCATCTACTGAACCTCAGTGGGCAGGAGTAGGGAGAGAGAATTATTTGTGACTCCAGGCGGACTCAGAATTGCACTGCTTGTATTCATCTGTCACTTGACATTTAAAGGTCTTTTCTGTTTTCCACTCAACCAGGTAACAAGTTCCTGCAGGTGTGTGCCAGGCTCTGCAGTTCATCAGGATGTTCTTGTAGCTTGATAACGCTGCTTGATAATTAGATGGATGCAGTGTAGCACCAAGGTTTCTTTGTTTCTTATCCTGTCACCTGATATCACAGTTAAGCAACAACACTTAGAGCTTTTCTGGCTGAACTTGGGACCTTGGCCCAAGTCCAAATCCATGTGGGGACTGGGGCAGAACTCAATGGGAAGACACCTGTCAGCAGGCACAAAACCCTGGATTCCAACCCTGGCCTCTCAAGAAAAACAAAGAGTAGGAATAAGGAGAAGGCCTCTGCTGTCCACATGCGGGAGCAGGAAGCAGCCGGGTGCATCTGTGTGCCCCCCACCGGTACCGACCCAGGATCTGATAGGGCTGCCCTGCCGTACCCCTTTACCATGGCAATGACTCTGGCCGTTGCTAGTGTGGGAGGGTGTGGCATCTCCTGACTGCCGTGGCTACATTGAGCCCCTCATTCTGCAAGTGCATGCAGAAATGCACCTTAGCCCTCTTACTGAGCAACCAAGCAGCCCTGCGTTTCCCTCTGCCCCAAGGGGGAAGGCACAGCCTTGAGGTTCACTGGCCAAGGCCTGGGTCCTGTTTACACAGTAAGAGGAGCCCTGAAGGGTGGATAAAGGATGGTTGCCTCAGTTTCCCTGCAGCTCCTAGAAGACAGAGAGCTTGACAAGGTGGGGTGAGTGGCAGAGAGGGGGATTCTGTCATTCTTCAGGCATTTACCAGGTAACGAGATATCCCCTGGGGCTTGCAGGCTGGCAAGGCAGATGCTGGGGAAAAGAGTGGAAGCTGCAGGAAACCCACTGAGTGCCCAGCCCAGGCTCTCCTGACCTCTGAGTCCCAGGATGCCTAGGACACTAACACTCAGATCCCAGGGTACCAGAATGAGCTTCTCCACTCAGCAGCAGAGAACAGAGGCTCTGAAAGCTGCAGAGACTTGCACAGGTGTGGCCAGTGGGTGGACCCTGGGCTCAGCCTCCTGGGCAATGGGCTCTGCTGTCTCTGATGGTCAGGATTACCGCCGTTTCTGCAGATGGTAAAGCAGCGCTGTCATGATCAGAGCCCAGCGGCTTCCTCCTGTGGTCTGTATTGAGGGGAAAAGGTGAGCATGGGCTAACCAGAGCCTTCCGCTGTGAGGAAGCTCCCCAGTCCCCAGCTGACAGGGGCCCCCAAATTTACTGATACCTTCTCATGGTGTCTCTCAGGATGGACACACCCCAGGGAGCCTGCACACTCCACCGCACGCAAGGCTCCCTTCTCTGTGCCTTCCTGGTCGTTCTTTCCCTGCTTGCCTTCCTGCTTCTGGCTTTGTTCCCCTGGCAATTGATTCTATACAGGCAGCAGGTGACGGTTGTAACATATAAACCTGATCACATCACATGCTGGTGCACTCTGAGCACCCCCACCTTTGCAGGCCAGTTGTGGGGTTCTTATCTCACAGCCTATCTCCCCATCCATGGTGACCCCCATTGTTTGTGCCTCATGAGGTCTTTGCCTGTGGGCAATGTCCTTCATGTCCCTCCCAGGAGAGAGGACCAGGAGGATCTTTGACCTCACACAGAGCAGACACCCAGCAGGACAGCATGTAGGAGTAGGGCAGGGCCAGGCCAGCTGGTGGATCCAACCTGGTCCTGGCACCATGCATGCCACGAGTCCTGGGGTGCTCTGAAGTCCCCCTTCTCTGCCCATGTGATGTGGGCTTAAGTGTCTCTCCCATCCATGTCCCCTGCTAGAGCAGTCTGTCCTTCCAGTTTCAAGCACACAGCTTGTTCTCGGCACATGGGAGGGAGGAGGAGGAAACAGGCTTGTCTATGTTTCCGTCTCTAGGGTCGAAGGAGGATTTTCCATAATCAGAAGATTCCAAGTCTTCAGGACCTCGGATGGCTCTCAGGAGCCAGGCACTTTGGCTTCCTCCATAAAAATGTACTAGAAATTCTACTGTATGATCGCATTGTGTAAAGATGAATAATCCAGGCTGGACTCATTATGTTGTATTCGTTATCGTTATGCTCATTTTTTCTTCTGACTTTAAATAAATCAAAGTGAAAATATGTTGGTCCTTATGTCTTGTTGGGCAGTAGTATCTGAGCATTGTCAGAAGAGCTCCGCCTCTCCAGCCATCCGCCTGTCCACATGTCCATCCATCCATCCATCCATCCATCCAAGAGTCTTTCTCTAGGAGGGATCATATGGGGCCAGAGCCTCCACAGCATCCTGAGCCCAAGGTCAGAGAAGGTCAAGGCAGCTTTGCAAGGTGTGGGATTGAATGACAACAAACAGGACGGAAACAGCAGAGATCATGGGACCTCACTCCTCCACTTGTCCACATTCTTGTCCTCTCTGTGTTCTTCATGTGTCCCACCATGGCCACACTGCAAACACTGTGACAAGGTCTCCAGAGCAAGTTGTGACAAACAGGGACTCCTAGGTGAACTGAACCAAGTGGATCCAATCACAAATGCGGGGCAGATCTGATGATGGTGGCTGCCATAGTAAAGCAGGCTGAAGGGTGGGTGGCAGACAAGGTTCCAAGGCAGCGGGCACAGGGCAGAAACTGAGTCCTTCTCAGAATTACCTCCACCGTGTTAAAAAAGATTTCACAGAAAAGGGATTTTTGGAGGAAGGGACACATTATTATTATTATTATTATTATTATTATTATTATTATTTATAGTCTGGGAATCAAACCAGGGCCTCCTCGCACATGTTAGGCAAAGGCTTTACCACTGAGCTACATTCCCCTTTCTCAGATGGGACATTTTGCATGAAATGAGAGGACAGAAACTGACTGTCCTCAGGAGTTACAAAACCTGCAGTGTTCCAGGCTTCTCTCTGGGAAGGGAGGATTCTTTGTTGTCCCTGCACTCAAATCTGTGCTGAGAACAGACTTGTATGCAGGGATTAGGGTCAGGTCTCAGTGGTGCTGATGACCTGGGGGTCAAAAATCCCTGTGAGTTTCTTTATTGATAATTAAGTTGGAAGGGAAACCATGTGGGGCCCAGGAAGAGAGAAACCAGTTCACCCTTCCGTGAATCAGCAGAAGCCATGCTGGATCTGGGAGGAGTATAACAAGAAGCCAATCCACCCTTCCTGTAAGCTGTGCAAACCATTCAGGGCTCAGGAAAAGAAAAGTCAGTTCACCCTTCCTATGAGCCAACCAGTGCATGGGCTGAGAATCAAGAAGCTACCCAGCCCATAAGCAACTGGCTGATGCAGAAGCAGGCTGAGTTGATAGCAACTAAGGTACAAAAACAACTAAATGCTTGTACTGTTTGATTGACTTTGCAGGCCTAAGGCCTGTAGTTTGAGCATCTATTGGGAGGATAACAGTATGCAGTACAGCAAGTATGGGGGGATTCCTTTTGTTTTGTTTTTGAAATCCAATATTGCTCTCACTGTTTTGTTTTGTTCTGAAGTATTGTTTTGTTTTATTTAATGTTCTATTTTGGTTGGTTTTATTCTGTTTTGTTTTATTTGATGTTACTATATCTGATGGAATGGACATCTTAGGATGATAACAAGATATACTATGGTAGCCATTGTTGATTTGCTGTGATCCTGTTTTGAAGTTCTGTACCTCTTCCACTGTTTTGTTTTGACCAGTTTTATTAGGTTTTATTCTCTTTAAAATAAAAGATAATAATAACTAAGTTGGAAGGCCCAGTACCCTCTTCATGAATTTCAAATGCAAGCTAATGGTATGAAAAGAGTTTCAGGATCAATAAAAGAAAAAAATTTGCTAAGGACAAATTGCCAGTTCTTTCTTTTATTTAGCTGAACATCTGTGAGTCCCAAATTGTTTGGCAAGCTTTTCACCTGTGAATTTGGCAGAGGACTGCCTGCACAGAGAAGGATGGAGCCCAATTCTGCGTGATCCTTTGTGATCCTTTGTGAGACATTCTTGAGGAAAGAGAATTTCTTTTTTGCTAGCAAAAGCCTTGCAGGATGGACTCCTCTGCAGGGAGGTCTCACACTGAGGTGACTGCTTCCTCCCCACCCCGCCCCAGTAGATTTCCAGGGGATACTTCCTGGTCTCCCTGTGCCCAGAGCCTGACACTAGCCAGTCCAAGGGGGACAGAGCGTCACAGGCCTGAGTAGATGGCCCTTTTTCCACAACCACTAGAAAAGCTCTTGCAGTCCCTAACTGGGCATATTGAGCCACACAAAGATGAAACTTGGTGTTGTTTCCAGAGGCACCCACATTGCCCTTTCTTTCAATCTCCAAGTTCCCTGGGGGACAAAAGTACTTTCCAAGAGACGGACCTGAGAATCTGATACCATGTGGCGTGGTTCTTAGCTTTACTACCAATGGTTGCCACTGGCAAGTCTTCATGGACAAATGATACCACCATGTCAAGGTCTTTAGACCACAGAGTATACCATGACCAGGTCCAGTTGGGAGGAAACTGAGCTCAACCATCAGCACTATGCTAGCCAAAAGCCTGGCCAGAAATGAAGAGATTTGTGGGCAAAGCAATGACAGACTTTCTGTGAGGCAGTCTCATGTCAACCAAGCTGTGGATGCGTCTCTTTGATCTGCATTAATATTGGTGTTAGAAGGACAAAATTTCAAGATGCATTAAAACTTCCACTCTGGTCCTTTGCAAACTTTGACTCACATTTTGCTATAGCTGAGGTAGCTCTAGTTGTTAGATCAGAAGGGGGCTTGCGCCTGCTGAGATTCATCAACATAATATAGAATCTAATTTGTTCCCATTGGTCATTTGTATAAATGTCCCCCAATGCCTGAGGACAGAATAGCCTGTACCAGCATCATCTGTTGGCACTTTCAAGAGAAAGAGAGGGAGAGATCAGGGCCAAGAGCACAGTTTATTATAAATTTGCCATATGGGTTTATTTGAAAAAGTCATTTTATAATGTTAGACCCCTTTGACTCTAGAACCCAAAGCATGGCAGTTGATTTTGTGATTTTTTTCAAGTTTGGCTGATGCCAGTTGGAGCCGGGACAGTCAGGTTCACCCAGATCTGAGAAGCTGACAGTGGGAGAATTGGGTCATGAGTGGGAAACTCAGTGCTGATGTCTAGAGAAGATGGGAAGGGATGGCAGTCAGCAAAGGTAATGGATGTCCCAGGGGGCCAGGAGAGTGGATTCACTCCTAACCTCATCCTCCAGTTCTTCCCAGTGTAGACTATTTTGCCAGATTGCAAGACACAAGCTCGTTCTTCCAAGCACTAAGCCATCGTTCACAAGGACCGTTACCAAGGCCACAGTTCCTAGACTAAAGACTGCTGACATGTAAGTCAATTAAAGAACAAAGTAAAAGTTAAGGCTAGTGAACAGGGCAGTAGACCTCTGTCAAAGGGAAGCAGGAGTGGGGAGCAAGGGGAGGAAAAAGGGATAAAAAGAAGAACCCAGTCAAGATGTGTTCTGTCCGTGCACCAACTCCCTGCCGTGAATGCAATCAGCCTGTGCTGCAAACACAGGCTCACAAACATAAAAATCCCAGGAAAACCACTGAGGATGCAGGATACCTGCCTGCACCTTAAAAGTAGTTCCTGGCAGGGCTCAGCTTGGCTCATATTCATGTTGTGCTGGAAAACGATGCCCCCTACCCTTAATCAGTGTCCCCCATTTCTTTTTTCTGGCAAAGGTCAATAAAGAGAGCAGAGCAGTTTGCAGAGAGCTCGGGCAGCACTGAGCTGACCAAGTGACACTATGGCTCGCGTGGAAAAGTGATTTCAATGACAGAGCTCGAGACAAGTGGACCTGGCTGAAGGTGCTGGACACCCACCGATGCACCTGGGCTCAGGGACTCTGCATCCAGGGCAGCACCAGCCACCGCAGCCGAGGATCCAGCCCTAGCCAAAGGCGAGGCCAGCCATGGGGCGCGTTTGCTGGGCCACAGCTCGGGTCTCCCATCTCCCTGCCAGTTTTCAATTCCCTTCCTGCCAAGCGTATTTCATATTTAAAAAGTATTTTTTCCCTCTCCAATGAACTTTGAAGTTCATGTTCTTTGAATTTCAACATGGAAAAATCAAAGTGAGAGTTCACAAGCTTCTCTGGAGCTCCCAACCTACTTTGGGGAAATCGGTTCTTGTCGGAAATACCAGTGGGGGCACTGCTTACAAAGGCTGTGCAAGATGCTCTCAGAGACACATAGAAGCTGGGGCTATGGTTTCTGTCTAGATGTGTCCCCCCAAAGCCTCCTGCTTACAGGCAGGGTTTTTGGAAGATGCATGGATCATGGGGGCGCTCACCGCTGACTTCCTCTTCGGAGATGGGGTCTGGTCAGAAGAGGCAGTGGCTGGAGCTGTGGCTCAGAAGGGTTCATTTCCTTTCCCAGCTCCTCCCTCTGCTCTCTGCTTCCTGTCCTCCATTCCTTGAGCAGCTCTCCTCCGCCATGACCCTCTGCCATGCGCCACCCCTCTGTGGACTAACATGTGAGCCCAAATAAGTTGTGAGTATCAGGTATTGTGTCTCAGAGAGGAGAAAAATGACAGACATCTGGGGTCCCCCTGCCATTAACTGACATTTTGCTGATCGCAAGACACAAGCTTGTCTTCTCAATCACTAAGCCATCATTCACAAGGACCGTCGTCACCAAGGCCACAGTTCCCGGACTAAAGACTGCTGACATATAAGTCAATTAAAAACAAAGTAAAAGTTAAGGCTAGTGAACAGGGCGGTAGACCTCTGTCAAAGGGAAGCAGGAATGGGGAGCAAGGGGAGGAAAAAGGGATACGCAGCGCATTCAGCAAACAATGGTTCTCACAGTGTGCCCACCTCTGCGTCAGCCTGTGCCCCACCTCCTGGTGACCTGCACCTCCAGTGGCAACCACTGTCACAGCCTGAGTCAAGGGGCATTTGAGGAACTCTGAGTTGGAGACAGGGGACCCAATGCCCCTCTCATCTCATTCTGCTCTTGTAGCTCTGTCCTAGTAACCAGCCCTTCCTTTTCTGGGCCAAGTTTGTGCTTACAGCCAATGTGACTAGATCCTTGCACTCTAACCCTTCCAGGCCCATCTGCTCCCCAGATTCTCCTGTCATATGCTTGCCTGAACCTTGTGCTCCAGGCCTTAGAAATCAGAGATTCTCTGTGATTTGAATGTGTCCCCCAAAGTTCCTGTGTTGAAATATTATCCCCAAGTTCAGATGATAAGAGCATTTGCAGGCTGGTCAATTGGCCATTCCAATGAGGTCATGAGGTGGGACCCTAGGATGGCATTAGTGGCTTTGGAAGAAGAGGAAGAAAGACGTGCACTGGCACACTTGGTCTGTCTCACCTCATAACGTCCTCCCCCAGGAAACAGTACATTTGCCAGATGTTGAGCAGACTCTGCTGCCTTGTTCTCCAACTTCCAGCCTCCAGAATCATAAGCCAAGAAAACCAGCACCTGAGAATGAATTACTCATTCTCAGGAATGTTGTGATGACAGCAGAAAACACTTTGTACCACTTGATCAGGCCTTAACTTTCACTTTGATGACACATTGATCTTGATCTTCACCCAATGCCACACTCACCCTGGCTTTCACCATGACGATACTCTGATGCTCTGACGATACACATGCCAAGTCCAGCCAGCACTGACATCCTTCCTGCACAATGAATCACTCCTCCAGCTCTGGGGCTGTTATCCTGCAGAGAAAAACTAATTTTCACATTTTGTGATTTCCTTCATAACACTGGAAGTTCATCTCTCTTTCTCTCTCTCATGCACATACAATCTGAGACAAAGCCAGGAAACCAATTGGCAGGAAACTTCTCCAGGCTTACAGTTCTCAGAACCACTGCACCGCCACTTCTAGCCCACTACTCGCTGGGGAATTTGTCCCACATCATGTTCAGGGGGTTAAATTGTTGCCCTGAGTTAGAGCATATTCTGCCTTCCAGAAGCTTCCAGCACTGGATCCTGTGTATGAGATGGAGCTGGCTGCATCTCTGGCCCATGCTGTCAAATACATCTACCTCCTGGGGTTATTGTGAGATTAAAAAAATATCTCAAATGAGCCACCATGTCCAGGCTGGCACACAGGAAAAATTTGAGGGGGGGTGGGTGCCACTGTTGCTCTCCACAAGGTAGACATGCCCTGAGCAAGACAGGGACAGGAGAGACCAGGTCCAGTCGGGGGCTCTTAGACTGATGCTCCTGCAAAGCCACCCTGTGCCCCTTAATGCTACAGTTTGGGCCTTGAATGTCTCCCAAAAGCCTATGCATTAGAGGTTTTGTCCATACCTTGGTGTTATTGGGAGGTGAGGGACCCTTTAAGAGAGGAGCAGGGGCCTTAAAGAGAATTCTGGACATAGGCTCCTTCTTTCCCATCCCCTTCCATGCCATGAAGGGAGTGGTTTTGCTTTTTCACATGCTCCCGCCATGATGTGATGCCTTATCACAGGCCCAAAGCAAATGATCATGGACTGACCTCTAAAGCAGTAAACTGGAAATAAACCTTTCCTCCTCACACGTGGATCCTCTCAGGTGTTTGTTACAGTAATGGAAAACTGAACAGTGTATCTGTGTGCTGTATTCTGAAGGCAAGCCTTCCTCAGAGGGGTGTTCTTGATCCTTCATAGCTGACTCTGTCTTCTTCTCTGGGACCCAGGGCTGTTGAGAAGGAGCAGCCACAGTTTGGACACAGACCCTACCCTGGCAAACAAGCTATCCCAGTGTAGGAGCCACTTGAGCTCAGTTTCCCTGGATGGTAGATTCCAGGTGGAATTCTACCATATCCAGCTGGGTCACCTTAAGGAAAGGCTTCATCTTTCCAGGTTCCACTTTTCTGTCCTTGGGAATGGTGGTTACAGTCCTACCCTTTCCAATTAGGGTGAAGAAAAGACCAACAATATGGTGGCTCTTCATCCCAACTCAGGCAAAAATGGCTGTTCTTTCTGGGTTGTAGAGCCGTGTCAGTTTCTGTGTCCTGGTCATTGTCATCTGTGTTGTCACCAGAGAGCTCCTCACTGAAGGGAAAACAGAGGGATGAAGTATTTGAGGGAAAACAGTATCAAGAAGAAAGTTCTTGAATTATCTTCAGAGGGTTTTCAGGTGGCCCAGGTCCAGCCCTTTCCTGAATCTTCCTGATTTGTGTGAACAGGACCTGGCTTCCCCACAGCTCTGCAGATGCCTGCTCTGGGCTCCTCATCTGTCTCCTACTGGCCTTGCTTTTGATGGCCATAGCTTCAGCAGGACCAAAGGCTCACAGGGGACAGAATCCCTTTCAAACAAAACATCTCATCTGTCATCTGCACATCATTCAATCCACTGTGTGTCAGGCTCATGTCCTTTTCCTTGGGCACAGCATAGCTGAGTGGTACAGAACCAAAAGATGCCAGCAACGCAGTTCCACACCATGGTGCTCAAGCTTGTTCCCATGCAGCGACCTCTCCAGGTTCCCCAGAAGGCCTCTGCCCCTGTGAGTCATTGTCATTGTCAACTATTAATAGGGTGACCATAACCTTTGTCACTCAAACTAGGACTCTTTGAATGGAAAGTTGAGTGTTGTGAGTAATTAGGGTAAAAGATGAGTTGGAGTAAGGATGGTCACCCTCCTTATGGGACATGCATGTGTGGAAGATTCCTTGTTATGTCCTTTGTTTACCTTGTCTCTACTTATCGAAGGCTCTGTTAGGTCAGTCTGTGTGTCATCATTGCCTCACTGGAAAACTCAGGCCAGAGAAAAGAGAGGACCCACATCAAAGTCCTTTGACCTGTAAGTGGCAGAATCAGATGTGTGTTTCAGAGCCTGTGCCTGTGAGCCCTTTGATGGCCCACTTTCTGTGGGTTCAGTCCTACCTTGGTCAATCTCAAGCACCTGTGGAGTGGATGTTATGGCTACCATCTGAGCAGGCCTAGATGCTACCAGGCAATGCGGAATTCTGGGGTCCCTTGCTGGACAGTGGCTCAGTAGCCAAGAGGCTCTCAGTGACCCCTTTGCTGACCTGGCCTCGGTGGACATCTAGAGCCGACTCACCCAGGCTGGTGTGTGATTGAGCAGCTCTTCAGGCTCCGGCGGGGGCAGGATAATCTTGGCATGGGGCTTGTTAGTCCTTGAGTTTGGTCCAGAAGCTGTCTGTCTGTCTCTTACTGAGCTCTGAGGCTGGAGAGCAAGAAGTCCGAGTCAGTGTTCCCAGCCAGGGGAGCTGGAAATAGCTCATGCTTTTCTCGTTCTTGTCCAAAGCAGGGATCCATGCTGATGACCATACTGGCCCTCTGCAGGCAACCAGCTCCATTAGCACCTCACAGCGAGGTCACTGTGTCTGCCCAGGCTGTGACACAGTAAATCTGGAGAAAGTCCATGTATTTATCAAAACAAAAAGACTCCTGGCAGTTCCAGCATTGTGCAGTCCACCTGCTGCCATTCCAGGCTGCCTCCTCCCAGCTCCCCTTTCCTCCTCTGCTCCGTAACCAGGCAACCAGGCAAGTGTGTGCATCCCAGAATGCTGGCTGCAGGGGCTGTGCACTCAGCAGTGATGGCTGATTCCCACAACTTTCTGGAAATGCACTTACAGCATCAGTGTCAAAGTAGAAAAACAGAAAAAAAGACACAAAGAAACACAGCAATGGAATTCAGCAAAAGGATTGCACATCCATCTTCTTCACATTTATATTTCTAGGTAACTGAAAAGTCATCCAGCCTGGTAATTATCATTCTATTCCTGTCTTCCTGGCATGAGGTGCTGATTACTTTTCTGGGCAACGTTCTGAGCTGGGTGCATTATTTTAGTCATCGTAAGGAATTTGCACAACCAAAGACGCCACCCAAAATGTCATGAGCTTCCATTCCGGGATACCTGTGCTCTGGGCACTAGGACACTCTATGGCACATGAGCTGTTCCAGTCTCTCCCTAGATGTGCTTTAGGAGCCTCACACTCTCGTGGCTGGGGCTCCTGGGAGGGGACCAGATTAGGGCAACACCACAGCTGCTGGGAGGTGGGTCTGTTTGGGGACTGGCCTGGGAGCTCCTTTCTTCCCTGGCTGCTTCTCTCCACAATGATGCAGGCTGTTTTTCTTCACTATGACCCTCTGCAGCGCAGCTTCCTCTTCTGAGTCCCTGACCATGGACTGGAATGTGAGCCAAGATAAATCTCTCTTCCTTTACATTGTGGGTGTGGGGTATCATATCCCAGCGTGGAGACAGTGACTCAGGCGTAGCCCACTGGCACATAGCTTTGAAATATGCCATACACATCTTACACAAGCCTCTTCTTCATGATTGCATGACAGGGTTCATTATCACTGTTGTCACCACTATCATCATCATCATCATTTGGGCTGTTTGAGACAAGGTCTCACTATGTAGTTCAGGCTGGCCTTGAACTCCTTATGTTAGCCAGGGCAGCCTTGATCCTCCTGCTTCAGCCTTCTGAATGCTAGATTGCAGCCATGTGCCCTGCATCAGGACTACCAGCAGGTACCTGTGGTACACAGTTCCACCTCTGGCCGACACTGTCTTACTGCTTGTGTTTATTCGCTGACTTGATGGCCCAGCACTCTGTGGGGAGGATGTCAGTAAGGATAACAAGTAGGTGTCCCTTTTCTCTCAAGTGGAGATGCAAGGTCCAAGAGGGAAGATGAGTGCTCTGCCACTATCTCTCTGTCTCTGCCCAAGCCATCAGAGACAGAGACCAGGTGTAGAGGCGGTTCCAAGCTCAGCCTGGAACTAGCACAAAGTGTTCGCACTCACAGTCTCCGGGGATCCCCACGGCCACACTGCAGAGGCAGAGTGGTGGGGAATGCAGTGTAGCCCTGGCACTGGCCAGCCCACCACGCTACTGCAGCCGGCAGCAGAGAAGAGCAGGTGAGCTCCTGCCCAGGAGCTGCTGCCTGTCTTAGTCAGTTCTTCCTGCTGTAACAAAACACCATAGATTGGGGGCTTAGAAACCATAGGAACCGAGTCCTGGAGCTGGGAAGACCTGGGACTGGCAGGTCTGGGGTCTGGTGAGGACCTCATTCCCGATTCATTGGTGGCCACATTCTAGCTATTGCCTCACCAAGTGGAAGGGTCAAGGGATCTCTCTGGGTCCCTTCTAAGAGGGCACTAATCCCATCCATGAGGGAAGACCACTCAGCTGGAGACTGGGTTGGACATGTCAATGGAGGAGGGGCACACACACTTAGACCACGGCGTCCTCTTATAGACATTTTCCAGGTGCTGAAGACGAGGCACAGAGCAGGTAAGAAACTCTGTCCAGGGCCCTGGTACTCCAAGTGGACTTGGGGTTCTTGCTCAGGTTGTCTGGCTGTATGTCCGTCGCTAAGCTCTGCTGGGTCACAGTGTGGCAGTAGCTTAGCAGGTGTCAGTGTAGATCTTCACATGTGGCACTTACTTCCCCTTGACCCTAAAGCATCGAAGCCACTCACGGGTCAACAATTTGCCATGAGATTCCTGACCTTGAGCTGCGGAATCGGAGTCACCCGCACTGGTGAGAGTCCAGGACTCTGCTGCGGTCAGGGCCTCCCACTAGTCCTGCCTGAAAGCCCAGCGTGCTCCTGGGGCTGTGGGAGGCCCTGCAGCTCCAGGCCATGGATGGCCCCCTCTGTGCCCTGCCCTGAGCAGTGGGCTCCTCCTGTTGTTCCCAGAGCCCCAGTACTACAGTGGGAGCCCGTGGTAGACACAAAGAAGGGTTAGCAGCCCAAAGCCACACGGCCGACAGCGTGCAGCAGTGCACAGGTCTAAGAGGCGTCCGCTCTCCTGGGCAGGGTATGTGGACCCTGTTTGTATCTTAAAGACTTCTTGCTGCTTCCATCTACTTCACCTCATGCTTTTCTTTCTTCCCTTTGCAGTCCATCATGGGCGCAGGAGCAAGTGAGGGAGGAAACCAAAGTCAGGGACGCAAAACAGCAAGGGCCACGGGTGGCAAACTGCGCTTCCTAAAGGCCTCTCTGTGTGTCAGTTGGAGGCCCCTGCTCCCTATGGGGGGTGAGAAGCCAGAGGGTGACGGTGCCAAGGGACGCCAGCAAGTAGCAGCTGGTCTCCCCAGCTCCACTCTGGGTCCCCCACCCAGGCTGTCTCTGCCTTTCGTTCTTTTCCCTACAAGGGCTGGCAGGACCAGTGCTGGGTGGCCGGAGTTAGTCCAAGCAGGCCCCCAGCCCAGTCATTTATAGCTTGTAACAGGTAGAGAAAGCGTGTCACCCAAACTGAACTTGTGTGCACCCACACACGCAGCCCGTCTCCTGATTTGGGGGGAACCTAAAAGTCTTCCACGGGCTCTCCCTTAACTCCCACTTAAGTTTCTCCATTTCACTTGTCAACTGCATCAGTGAACATGGGTCATCTCTATTGACTGCTATATATTAATTAGAGAGAGAAAGAGAGAGAGGACATAGGGAAATAGAAACTTAGCTGACTTGTGGTGAAAGGTGGCACTTTTGGGTGTGATTAGGATTAGATGAATTCATTGGGATGAAATCCCCATGGTTGAGGCCTGGTACCTTCCTAAGCAGACAGAGAGAGACCCAAAGAGAACCACACATGCTACCTGTCTCTCACCTGTGGTATTCAGCACCACCTCAGCCTTGCCAGCATGAAGCCCATTGTCAAGTAGGGCCCCTTGACCTTGGACCAGAACTGCGAACTGGAATAAACCTTTTTTCTTTATAATTCACCCAGTCCTTGGTGTTGTGCTGTTAGCAACAGAAAACAAACTAATACACACACACACTCACACACACACACACACACACACACGCACATGTACACACATCATTTTCTAATCTCTATCAAGCTGAGAGGCTCAAGGTAAATGAGCCAATTTGTTTTCACTTAAATATGGAAATAGGATAAAGGGAAATAAGCCTCTTGGATGTGCATGACAGAACACAGCTGTAAACTGGGAGAAAGAAAAAAAAATGAAAGACACATTTGCTGCAGGTCTCATGAAGGACAGTGTTTGTGCAGTGAACAGTGGCTGGGAGGCTGGGAACACCTCTCTGCACCTTGTGCTCCCATCTGCAGGGCCTTTGCCCTCAGTTTCCTGTCCCAGCACCTAAACCCACAGTCCCCCCTCCCAGGCCAGGATGCTGAGTTACCCTGAGCCACCCAGAAGTAGGTCAGTGGGTCACCACACAGACCTGAACAGAGAGGGAGTTTGGCTGAGTTGTGTGAGACCAGCGCTTGCAGGGCAGAAGTGCTCAGGGAGCCTGGCTGCTCCTGCCAGGCGTTTCCCTGCAGTTTAGGGGTGTGGCGGAGCCTGCGGACTGACCACGCCCTCTGCCATGCTCTGACCTCACTTTCAGGCAGGGTCTTCCCATCTCGAGGCACAGGTGTCCCATGCAGAGGCTGTGGGAGCCCGTCACCAGAGGAAGAGCCCACTTAGGTGACCCTGACACCTGTTTCAGAACTCCAGCTGCCCGGTCCCTGTTGTCCTGCTTCTGTCCTTGGAGGTATCATGGGCAGCATGCTGGCAAGTGGTCTATGACCTCAACACCCAGCCCCAAGGGTGGTCTGTCCTGTTGCACAAGTTTGGCCTCTTTGTCACCCGAGCACCTCCGTTCTGGCTGTGTCCCTTCTCCTCTCTCCAATGTGGCCTGGGTGCACAAGCCAGGACAGCCACTGCCCTTATCCAGCTGGTATCTGTTCCGCTCTGCAGCTTGGAGTTTGGGTTGTGAAGACAAAAAGGATTTTAGGAGCCAGAACGGGGTTCACTCAGCTGCATACAAGCAGTTTTGGTAAAGACTGGTGATGTCCCCAGAGCTACAGACCTGGTCCAGAAGCTGAAGATGGTCACTCGGAGAGGCCGGGAGGGCTGGGCACACCTGGCCAAGAGGCTGCTTGGGAGAAGAGACCATATCTTGAAGGTGGCCAGGCCTGAGGCCAGAAAGAGCTCCTCTCACTGCCCCAGGGCCGCTCTCCAAACCCAGAGGAGGAGCTCCAAGCCGCCAACCCCATGGTAGGGGACAGTACAGTCCCAGGAAGCAGGGTGCATGCTGGGGGCAGGATGGGGCCATGATTGTTCTCTTGCAGGCCTCTAGCTCAGAAATGAGCCCCCCAAAGTTGCAACTGCCTGGGCTCCTCTGTGGAAGCAGAAGCCCCCAAACTCCAGATAGTCCTGGCCGTCTGGTGAACACCTTGGACTGTAACCTGTGTGTTTCACATTGCTGCTGGCCAGTTCTTCTTCTGCTCCTCCCATAACTCCTGCCTCTTTCTAGATTTCAGGCTGAAAAGCTGAATCTGCGGTTTCCTCCCAAATACAGACGTTTTTGCTGCAGTTTCTGCCCGCAGCTCCTGGAGAAGGATGGGTTTCATGAAGGCCTCGAAGCCCGGCCCAACCCCAACCAACCTAAGGCATGATGACAGGTCAGGAAAACAAATGAATGACGTGGGTTCCACTCCATTATTACTCTCCACTAAAAACATTTCATATTATAATGTTTAGATAAATTTCTCAAGGTCAAGCTGATGATTCTGCATTTCGCTTCATGCTGAAGCTGTGATTCATTCTCTACTCCACAGAGTTCTCTGTGCAAAGAACAGTCAAGTCCACATCAGAAATGAACATAACAGCGGTGCT